CATCTACTTGGGGTTTTTGGTTATTGTGACATAGGAAATACTTTTAGTTATTTTTGCTTAGTACATTATTGTGGCAGACTTGTGCAACGCCGTTCAGGTTCAAGCATTTCCCTTTCCGCTTTGCTGCATGTCAGAAAACTGTTCTAATTATCTTTAGTCACTGCTCAGAACTTCTTTTTTGCTTGTATTCTTGATTCCTCTCAGCAACCTTCAGTTATTTATCATTAGTATTTCAGTGTGAAGTCCAACGAGGTTATACATCAGTCTGTTTACAAATGTCAAGAAATATGTTTGATACAAATACACTCAGACTAGATGCAAGGAAAATGCATTTTTTTTTTGCAATGAGGATGGTGAAACACTGGAGTAGTTTGCCCAGGAGGGAGGTAGATGCCCCATCCCCTGAAACATTCAAGGTCAGAAGCTCTGAGCAACCTGATCTAGTTTAAGATACCCCTCCCCACAGCAAGGGGTTGACCTTTAAAGGTACCTTCCAACCCAAACCATTCCATAGTTCTATCATTCTATGACATAAATGGGATAAATGCAATGTTCATTGCTCACTCTCAGGATAATCAGGAGCTTTGGGTTGATGTAGCATATAAGATCAATAACTCCAGATTTTCATCAATGAAGTATTATAGTACCCTTCTGAGGAACATCTGGGCAGAACTGGCCATACTATGATGCAACGGCAGCCACCTGGATTCTGGATGCTGGTCCTCTGGCCTTCAGCAGGCCAGGGGAGACATCACAATACCCTAGTGGATCTCAAGGGGTATGTCAGAATGTAATAGCTGTTCTTCACTATCTATATAAATGAAAAAGATATTTCTAAAGGTGGCAGATATATTGCATTCTTCCTTTCTATGTTTCCAAGATTATTTCTACTTTGAGAGTCATGTGTGACCCCGGTGTGTTGTCCCATGGTCCAGGGAAGTAATAAAGCTTTGAGTGACCTGATTTTTATAGGAAAGGATATTGACAGATTAAGTACAAATTCTATCTTCTTGTCAGAATGTCAGTTCAGATTAGGTGCCTTCTGAGCCTCTATCATTCTATTCATAGCTCATACGAACACAAATTTGCATATGCTACTTATTATCTCAGCCCTTAAGCATACTTCATTCAGTTTGATTCTGAAAAGGAGGGCAAGACTATACAGAAAGAAGCAAGAGAAGCTAGAAACCTGGCAAAAATGTGGGAAAAAGGTCTAACTCAACATCATGTTATTCTTGAAGATTTACTCATGTTATACCACATTGTTTGACAATTGTGTATAACCCTTTGCAATGGCCAAAAGTAGATATTTTAGGAACATTTCCATTTCCACTGATTAACAATCTCTTACCCCTGTTCAGGTTTCAACAGCATATTATAGCATTTATAGCTTCAGATGTGTGCTCAGAGGAGACCCAGCTAACTGCAGGCCTATGAATAAGGGCCACAGTGTGTCCCTGGCATGTGCTCTGCAACCTCAGTGTCACATTACTCTTTCTTTCTACAAGAGAAAAAAATCTAATTTACATTTATCAGTATAGGTGACTGTTCTCTAGTGATTTCCCACTAAAATTATTCCCTCACTCTCAATATTGTTTTGTTGTTTTTTTTTTAATTTCTATTGTGTATGTATTTTTTTCCTTTCCACAAAGAATACTTCTTTTAATGTACTACCAGACCAACACATTATTGTTATGAAGTTATAATTTCAAATAAGGACAAATTCTGTCTTGATGCTGGTGGTCAGTTATATGCGTCATGTTCAGCAATTTGGAATGGTTAATAGAAATTTGAGATTGAATAATCTCTATTTTTAAAACAAAAATTACATTTGATTTCAGGACTAAAGATGAAAAGTATTTTAGGAGGTTTTATTATGCCGTTGATAGTAACTTGGACATGTAGAATTACTGTAGTTACTTCTTATTGCAGTTGGTCAAGAGCTTTCAATCATAGAAAAAAACAAAATCACATGGCTTCATGCTGATACTTACAGACAATCTTACAACATCTGCTAACACTTAAGTTGAAGTTGGTGAATTACTTTAAATCTTAGAAATTTCTAGAAATGCTCAGTACCAGCAATATGCAGAACATCTTACAGCAACCACAAGACTATAAAATGCTTCTCTCAAGCAATGAGAATTTTTTCTTTTTTCTTTTTGCTACATATGTACTTTTTAACGAGGTTTATCATCTTCACTTAATGGTTGATAGAATTCAAGGCTTTCTAAAGTATTAACAATTCTTTTTTGGCTCTAACTCATTTAACTTCTGCTGGACATACTATTATTATATTTTATTTATTAGAGAGATATTTAGGAAGAATTTAATTGTCAGTAGTTACATTCAAACCATTTTCTGAGTAGCCCCATCATTTTTATTTATTCTTCTCTGACATTTATATTCATGCAATGCTAATTACAGAATGTTGAATAACAGTCATAAAATCAAATTGAATGTTAAGAGCAATTAGGAAAGGAGTAGAATACAGAAAAAGGAACATCATTATGTCAGTATGACTACTTGGTGAACCCTCATCTTGAATGAGGAATTCTGAGAAAAGGTGATTCCTGTCACATCATTGAAGGCTGAGAGGATGAAGGGTCAAAATCCCAGAACATCTGGGTGAGTAGGTTAGTATTTCTCATTCCCTAAAGGAGAGTACATGGGAAGTGCATATGTCTGTGAAATCACAAGGAGAGGATAAGTAAAGAACAGCCCTTTATTGCCATCTAAAGTATAAAACAGCCACGTCAAACTTGGTGAGATAGCTAAAAACTAAATGGGGGGCATGTGAACTATGAAAGGTGACATGTGCTCTAAAGGCAGCTTGAGAAGGTAATTCTAAAAAGTTGGATTGGTAGACGTGTGAAACAAAGTGAGCACCTTTGGACTATGGAGTGTGAGACCCACAAAGTGTTGCAGAAGGAGAAGCAGATATCACATGCTTGACCTGATCTCATGTTGTTTTCACTGTTCTCTAGGTCAGCACTGTTGGTTGCCTTTACAGACAGAATACTGGGTGACACAAAGGATGATCCAATCTTTATTGTAATGTTTTGTGTATAAATTGTTAATATTTTTTAAATGTATCTGAATTCAGGCACTGAACAGAATTTAACTTTGGTGTTTTGTGACAATTTTAAGGCTGCAGTATTTCTTCATGTGCCTCTCTAGGCAGATTTACTATAATTAGGTTTTTGGCATTCTGACTTAAATGCATGTTTCTAGAAGAGTACAAGGATTAAATTGAAGTCTCCTGTTTTAGTCATTGCTTTTGTAAATAAATTTTTGCCTCTGCCTTTTTACAGCAGGCTTAAATGGATGGGTAAAACATTTTTTTCAAGGTTGGAAGGATTCCTTCTGCTGTCCTGCAGTTGCACTTCAGCTGCTTTGATGCATCTGCATAATTTTCTATTAATGACATTTAAGGAATGAAATGGCTGAAGTTAATAAAGTTACTTTTGGAGCTGCAGGAGACCTACTTGCAAAATAATCCTTATTATGTCCACTACCTGAAACTAGTTATTATTAGTTTATATCTGTGAGATTACTGAGAGCTCATAGTCTGACTGGATAGAAACTGTAAAAGGAGAATCAGATAGGGATGCAATCACATTCATCTTTTAGATATATTTTTTGAATGCTGACCACCTAGTTTGTATTGTTTGCTAGTACATTCAATTTTTCTTTAAATTATAAATGCACCATATTATTCTTTTTATTTTATTTGCATAATTTTTTTTCCCCTGATCACTGTTCCCAGTTTTCGTTTTCAAGTTCTTTGTTAGTTTAACCTGGGATTTAAATCTGTCTCTACTAAAGTCATGAAAAATTTTGAAGTGATGCTGCTCTTGGTGCCATCGTAACCCTGTCCTTCAAGAGACCTTGAATTATTGCTATGAACTCTCATAACTATGAACTCTCATAAAGATCAAATGAGCACAATGACCAGGGGAAAAAAAGTACAACAAAAAAACCCTGAACAGTTGAGTCATGTAATTATTTCCTAACAGTATAAATCATTTATCTGAAAAGGCGCTGTTTCCTACAGCCATAGCTTCCCTTAGGTAATACCAGTTCTTGGTGAAGAAATTGTTATTCCACATTTTGTTTTAGACGTTGCATTCTTCAATCATTTTCTGAGTAGGGCTATGATAATATCTAACTGTCAGGGTGCTTTCTTGCCCTTTGCCTTTTATTATATCATATGTGATTTATGTCTGATGCTTGACTTTCAGAGACATCATATGTCCAGTGTAAGAAAGATGTGGAAATATGTCTTTGCCCATGAAATTGCTTTCTGCTGGGATTAAAAAAAATATAAATCTCTGGCAAAATACTGCTGAAACTGGATATTATCTTCTTATTCATGTTCAAAACTAGAAACAGGCTGCTTGATTGGATTACTGTCCTAGCAAAACTTCTAATTCCTTTTTTCCCCTCCCTCAACATTTGCTAATCAGTGGAATTTGCTGTATGTATCATTGTTATGGGACCTTTTGTCATTATTTTGCTCAAATGTAGAGCAGTAATTCATCTTCATTCACAGCCAGGGATCCTGCCATCCATATGTAGAAGGCATATTTTTAGTTTTCTTAGATGTAATATAAACATTTTGTAAAACCATCCCTGAAGAGAACGTAATTGTAGTGGTTAATGTAATTGTTGCTGTCATGAGATACAATTAAAAAAGAAAATGAGACATCCCCTGAATTACAACCTAGCAAAACAGGTGTGGCGAAAGCAGTAATCCAGTTTTCATTAAATACAAGTTTGGTGAATCAAGTTCTTCTGTAAACTGAACAAGAACAGTATTATACAAAAATTTAAAGAAATAAGAAGCGTATTCTGGTCTGTTGCAGTTTGGATTTAAGCAGAATGTGCTATTTAATTTCCTGAATTCAAAACCCTGCTAGCCAGATTTATTGAGCCTGGTTCTTTTACTGTGTCATCTGAGTAATATCTCTCTTACCTACTTAATTTTTGCATTTCAGGAATCTTATTCAAAGAAGAGAGGTTATGCATTGGAAGCAGTACCCTCTGTACCTCTGGATGCAGTTCCTTCAGAAAATAACAGCAGTCTTTGTGATTCGATAGACATAGCAGTCACCAAAAAGCCTTGTTCTCTAGAGATAGCAAGAGTTCCTTCCTCAAGACCAGGTAAATCAAATAATCCTTTACACAGTCATTGGTGTAAGTGTTAATCTATAGAATATATAGGTTTCTATTTTTAAGCATGCAGTACTCTGTTTATCACAGTATGATTTTAGTTAGGTATATCCATTAGCTTCCATAAGTGCTTCACATCAGAATAAAGATTAATAGCAAAACGTTGTAGAAATTAAAACAAAGCAGATGTTTATATACTTTCCTAGATAAATACAAGATTGTGAAAAGCCAGATTTTCAGTTTCTTGTAGACGAGCCTTTTGCAGTAATCCTTTAGCCAACCTGTTTCTTTTTTTCCAAAGTACTGCTTAGCAACAACATTATGGAGCTACTTCAAAATTTAAAGTAATCTGCATTTTCATTTGATGTGAAAGAATATCTGATCCATTTTTAAAAATTAAATAGTGAATGAGAATTAAGAGAAATATTAAATGACAGTTTGACAGTCTGTTGTTTGTGTTATATATAGGTTTGAACAACAGCGAGTTAAAATAGTTAAAAACTGATAGAATTATGCTAAATCGGATATTATCTGTAAGTATGATATTATCTGTAAGAATTCTGTTTATGTTCTCCAAAATTATGTGATCTATTCCATTACCCTTGTTTGAACTCTTCATTAGTCACCACCTGGTACAGGAATTTCAGAATATAGTCATTTTGCTCTAAGTAATTGGACTGAGTCTGCTTTGACAAATGACAGTTCTCAGCAGCAGAGACCTATTTGAAACAGGCAATTGACTTTCTGACCTGTGAGATCTTGATTAGGAGTCATGATTTGGGTAATATGCGAGGATGACAGATGGCTGTTGACTAACATCGTGTTACTGATCTGGTTTGTGTAAGGGGAAGAACCTTCTTGATTTCACAGCTGAACTAATACTGAAAGAGTGCCAGAGCTATATCAGGCATAGTATATGAGGGCCAGATAGCAAGATACAGCTTTAGAGTTTGCAAGGTAAGGTGGAGTGGATTGTAATTCCAAACTTTCTATTAAATTTGGGCTAAGGAAGACTTGGTAGAAGCTGCATTATAAGCAGCAGTCTAAAAGGTGGTTATAAACAAAGCATCTTTATGGCATAGCTGCACAGAATGGGGTAGAATCTGACTTGAACTTCAGCATGACTCTGATGATTTGGGCTCTGATAATCTAAAATAAATTAGTCTGTGCAGGACAATATTGTGGGTTGTTTTTCAGTAGAGGAAGAAAATAACAAACCATCTTTGCTTTTGACACTTCTACTCGCATAATTACCATAAACATATGTATTGCAGTGGAAAGACTGCCATACATATATCCAGTAAATTGTAAGGGGGAGTTAATTACCTGCCTTCTTAGTAATGGGGCTCAATAACATAGCTTCCCATTGTAATTAGTATTTTTTTTAAAAGATGGAGTTTTCACTAGTTAAAATACCAGGCTTTGGAACTGCTCTGTCCACTGAACACAAGCATTTTATTGAGGTGTAATAAATCCATTAAGGTTGGTGTGAAACACAGATCCTATAAAGGACATTTCTATGTCTTAATCTGGAAGTATGTTTCGTGTAAATTTTAAAACAGTGTAGATCAGAGGCCTAGAGTATAACCACAGAAGGTGTAGGACATTCATGAGGGCATGCATGATACTTAGAAGATCTAACAAGATCAGTAAGTTGACAATACAAATGTACTGTAATTACTTCTCTCTTAGTTTTCCATATACCACTATGATATTTTCCCCTTGGCATTTTATTGGGAAGAACATTTGCCTGTATCGAAAAATGTGGTTTCATTTTAAGCTATAAATGTAGAAGTTATTTAACTGGCCTGGCTTGAAAGCCTTATCTGGAATTGTGTTGGCTCTTACCTTATACTACAAATGGACCAAATGAAATAAATCATGTCACTCTCAGTTATAAGGAATTTAACTCTAGGCCTAATTGTATGTGAAGTCACCCTGCCACTTTTAGATCATATAGATTTATTGCTTGAATAAGTTACATATGATTATAGATAATTTATTTAAAAGAAATATCTAATTTTGCATGTTTTTTTTCCTGAATTTCCCTCAGTTTTTGTGTCACTGAGACATGACAACTTTGGGAATACTGTTTCAAATTTCTTTATTATGTGATATGTAGGGCTCTGGGGAGAAAAAACAGACTTCTCTGTAGTTCTGAAATTTATTGTTGAACTGGTAAGGAATCACAGAGGATGAGATCTCTTGCAAAAAATAGTAAGGGCTTGTTAGTTTTCAGGGAGAAAAACTGAATAGAAAGCAAATAAAAGTAGTCATAAAGTTGGTTACCTCTACTTCTGAAATCCTATGTTGTGTGAGTTTTATATCTGTTTGCAAGAAATTAGGTTTATATAGGAAGAGGAATAGTTGCATTTATTGGTTTATGCTCACAGTTTCAGCAGTTGCTTCTAATTAGGACAGACTTAAGAGTAAAAAAGATTGCTTGTGTGTCTCCGTCCAAGTTAAACTGTTCCTTGTTCCTGTGATAGATTGATAGGACAAGTTTGGCAGAGTGTATAAGCATCTCTCAGCGCTTCTACCTTTAAACTAATAGTTAAGACATGATAGAAATAATATGAAATATTACAGCCTTTGAGACCATTTTATTCCATTAAGTAAAATATAAATTTGGGGGTAAAATTTCATTGATCCATCTCATAAAATGAATATAAAAGAATGGATTCAGTAATCAGTCTGACTGATTATTCTGTTGGATATTGTCCTGTTGAATATTGTACTGTCCTATACCAGGACAATATCCTTATGCCTTAAACTTAAATATCTACCTAAAGTAGATATTTCTGCTACTCATTTTAATTTTTACACTTCTATTAAAAAAAGAATTCATGTGACATATTTAATCTTGAGCAGTAGTCATTAAATTTTATGAGTTCATAAGCCATGCATTGGTATTGTCCTTTGGCTTTTAGGGATGTAATGAAATATCATGAACTAAAGCAATACATCCTCTCAGAAATGTATAAATGAAGTTCAAAAGACATTTATTTAGTTAGTGAGGTTTTGGTCACTTATATGGAGTCCAGAATACTGATTTAGGTGTACCACCAGGCTGCTTTTGGGATTCTGATGTTAAAGACCCTTATAGACTTGTACTCTTAGCAGCTTAGACATTCTGTACCACAGTCCATCCTTGCACCTCATAGTGTCATTCATTTTATTTAGGAGAAATATTGAATTAAATCTGAGCTACTTTACAGAATAAATGCTATTTTTTTTTCAGTTGTAGTTACATACATGTTTCTACCCAGTAGGAAGATTATATCTCTTTGAGTCTGCTTTTGTCATTTCTACTGCAGAAATGATAAATGAAATTCTACCTATGAATTGCACACCAGGTGGAAGTTTACATGTTACATTTTCAATAATAGTGAGTGATGGCGAGTAGTATTTTAACTATTTTTAGGTCTCCTTGAGTATCATCAGGAATTAGAAAGGACTTTTCAAGCTCTGTTTCTGTTTGTTACTCCCAAACAAACTTGTGGAAGAAAAAAGCAACCACCCTTCTTTCGAAATTTGATTTATCTATGCATATTAATAAAGGTTTTAATAAAACATCTCAATGACAAGAGACATTTTTCTATGTAAACTTCATGAGAATCACCATTGGATAAGAGAATTCTAGTTCAAGAACCTATTGTGTTTCGTTATATTACTTCACTGTGGCTGCAGGTCAGGGATGCCTTAGTGAGCCATCTTCAACTCTGAAAACAAGTGAGCTGTGGCAAAGCAGAACTCAGGGTTGGCTGCACAATCCAGCTGAGAAATAAGTCAAATAGTACGGGGCTTCACTTATGCTGACCTCTCAATTCCCAAGCCAGCAATTCCCAAGCCAGTAATTTTGAAGACAGCTCTTGTACAACTACTCTACCCAGTTATATCAAAGATATGGATTCTATCAGGGATAAAAATTGTCCTTAGATATGTGATGTGTTGCCAGTAGCCTATAGCAGGCAGGCAAGCATAAGACAAGGAGCTGAAACATAAAGAAAGTGATAGCAGCTATTCTGATCTTTCTCACAGGTAAGTGTACTTTGAAGCAATCTTGCTGTTGTCAGTCAGGATGTTTTTGTTATCTAAAAAAATTACTTTGATTTGTGCTTAAATGTCAGTGACTTGTAAGGAGGACCAGGCAGTTAATAAATCTGTAATTATTCATACCTTCTACTTAGAGCCTTATAATCACAACAGGGAAATTAATACAAAAATAGTTGACATTGAATTAATACAATATGTCAAACTGTCCCCAAGCTGGTCAGTTCTTAGGGTTTTTCTTTTGCTTTCTCAGCCTGGCATCCCTCTCCTGTCATTACAATGAAAATGAACGTGAAAAATTGTAGTCGGTGTGTCAGATTGCCTCAGCTGTATAACACTGTGTCAGCAGTCTCACACAGATATCTAGGAGACTATTCTCCAGAAACCTGAATTGAAAAATAGCCTACCTGTGAGAACATTTTTATCAGCATTAAAATATGTCTTTTACTTAGTTTCCAAAATCATCTAAAACTTGGCTTGGTAAGTAAAGAAGATGATCTATTTGTCAGATCATCAGTTTCTGTTTGACTTCAGTAATCCTGAATATTTGCCCACTTCAGTTTACCAGACTGAGACTAAGATCCCAAACACATATTTTCTAACTTGATGATTTAATACCTTCACTTTTGTGTAGTTATTTTCTAGCTATAAGCAAAGCAGTGAAAAGTGGCCACAAGAAGGAACCATCACACTGCCAGATATAAAAAATTGTCTGGATGAATGGAAATTCAAGAATGTAGCTTTAGTCATCAATGCTTCATCACCTTGAAACTCTAATTGATCTGAAGGGTCACGCACAAACCTTTCTGAAAGCCACTCACATGAATTGCTTCAAGCAGAAGGACTGCTAATAGAGCTGTATTTCATATATGTATGTTTTTTAAACCAAAGATAGCAGGATATAGTGCACTTAAACACGTGACCCACCGTCTAACTCC